TAATATTATAATACTCGAAGATTTCAATATACATGTAGACATAGAGACTGATGCCATCAGTCTAAATGTAATAAATGTAATTTAAAGTTTTTCATGCATATTTATACATATAATGTCCTGGGGACAGAAATGGCACCAATTTGGTGGAATGGCCCTATTACAATTAAATCCAACTGAAATATTTATTAAAGGTTATAGGTCATATATAAGTGGTGTTCTGCAATGTAAATGGGTGTGAAAGTTTACTAAACAGTGAAAGAGTATTTGTTGCTAAACTGAGATCATAAATGCAGTTACTGACCAAAGTGGTAAATGTATTTGAAACTTTTCAGATTCTAGTATAAAAAAAAATTAAAAGCATGTTTGCTATAAAGTACCTTTTATATGCACAGTATGTTACATACCTTAATAATGAATTAAGCTTGTTATTATAATGCCACATGCTGTATTTCCTGTAAGGATAGAATTGCTGTTTAAATGGTTAGATACACAGGAGTGTATAGATCCCCCACAGGGGGAATTCCCCTGTTACAGCAGCGAAAAAGAGAATAGCAATAAAACAAATATGTTACTAAATATTATAAAACTATTAAAAGGCACAATGGTATGGCACATTCTCATTGTACATTATTGCACGTGTCTGATATTAGCATATCTAAAATATGATTTAGCACAATGACCTGCACTGTGCAAAGGACTATAGTCTTCGCAACAAATGAAGACATCCCCAGTCCTTTGTATACAGTACACCTGTGCTGTCCGACCAGTTCCCTTCATTGTTAAGATGGACACCCAGGTACATGTAAGAACCAGCTGTCCAGACCCTGAATATTCACTAGTTTATTCTGTGGCTTCCTCCTGCGGAAATCTATCACCATCTCCGTCATTTAGCTGCCATTTTGGTAGAGGCAATTTAGCTCACACCAGTTGAAAGCTTGTTAAGTAACCATATTGCATACATCCATTCATCCATCCATCCATCCATCACCGTAATCCCTTAAACTCAACTGGGGTCACGATGGGGACTGGAGCCTATCCCGGGAACCGGGGCAGTCGCCAACACACCGCAGGGCACACACTCACAATTACACGGTCAATTTAGACTCGCCAATCAACATGCCCTGCATTGCACGCTTTTGGAACGTGGGAGGAAACTGGAGCCCCTGGCAGAAACCCACGTAAACACAGGGAGAGCGTGCGAACTCCACACAGAAAGGACCCGGGTACTGCATACATTAAATGGTTCATTTACATTAGTACATGCATTCCAAATTGGTTGGTTTCTAAACAGGATCTATATTGTGGATTGTGATTCTAAGCAAAAATATCCTGATATGAAATTCTGGCCATGTCGCTGACCTCTACATTCACCATCCATTTCCAATTCTATTCTGCATGTAATTCTCACTGCAGAACCAGGGCTTCTAAGGGGGAGCCGCGGAAATATCAAGGCACCACCCTCTGCGCAGGGGAATTTCTGGGTTATAGATGAAATGTTTTTATATATCCTAAAATTTACTACCAAAATGTATTGCGATTTTGTTGGTTTGTGTTTATTTCTGGGAAAATGTATTCCCAGTCTCTGGAGTGCATAATGGTGTGGGCAGAGGGGCGGGGCTACAATTATCTGAAGGCTGTATAAGGCCACTAGCCTCAGTTATAAAGGAGGAGGACAGCCTGGATAAAGGACCGCGATGCTGGTGTAGGTGTGGGGGTGCAAGAAATGTAGCCCTCAGATCATATTTATATGTAGATTTAGTGTCAGTTTCATAGTGTGATAAACAAGGTCTTCAAACAGAAAGATAAATACAGAATATCTTATCTTAAAATCCCATTGTTATAACAGGGAGTCCCTGGGTTAAGAACGTCCGATTTACAGACAATTCATACTTACAAAGTGCCATAAAGCCTATTATATAAAAAAAATGGGTTAAATACAATGTTTCTTAATAACAAATGGTTTAATACTTTACTTGTTACTGTATAATTATTATCATGATTATGTACAGTATTATTATTTTTCTGATTTACCTAAATATTTGGATCTGGTTTGTAACCCAGAGACTGCCTGTGTTTTGGTTACATTTTATGCATCAAATCAAATGCTCCCTCTGCTTAAAGCCTGGTGACGGACAAGCAGGGGCCCGAGTATCTTGTTCCTTCTGCTTCTCAGGATGGGCTTCAGGCTCCCTGCCTCCCTCTGCTTAAAGCCTGTTGACAGACAAGCAGGGGTCCGAGTATCTTGTTCCTTCTGCTTCCCAGGATNAGCCTGTTGACAGACAAGCAGGGGTCCGAGTATCTTGTTCCTTCTGCTTCCCAGGATGGGCTTCAGGCTCCCTGCCTCCCTCTGCTTAAAGCCTGGTGATGAACAAGCAGGGGCCCAAGTATCTTTTTCCTTGTGCTTCCCAGGATGAGCTTTTGGCTCCCTGCCTCCCTCTGCTTGATAAGCAGTTCCATTACAGGAATGAGAAAACCAATCATAACCCTGGAATATTATTAATTTTCATGTGCCTCGTCCCATTCATCCAGAAGCTTAGATGCTGTAGCTCCGCCTTTTTAATTATCACTTTATTAATGATTTTCAAATATTATATAGTGTTTAGTAACTGATGATTTATTTATTATGCTTTTTTAAGGAGAGTTATTCACATGAAACATGAAGCTGTATATGTTAATTATCATATATTAAGGTTGAAATCAAGCAGTGTTTCCCATCCTGATAGGGAGCAAAAATGTTTTTGGTTTTCAGTACTGCTATTCTGTCCATTCATCTCAGTCAGGCTCATAGGGCAGCTACAGACTCTCCCACACAGGGATAAGCTCTAGAATGAATGCCCCTCCAACACATCTCATGTGGAACGGAGAGATTCCAGTTAGCCTAACTGGGAGTCTTTGGACTGTGGGAGAAAACCCAGAATATCCAGAGGAAACCATCACAGCAGACGGAGAGCATGCAAGCACCTCACACACAAACCAAAGGCAGGATTCACACCCCCAATGCTGGAGGAGTCAGGGCAGAGAGCTGCCCAGCAAGCCACCAACCCACCGACATGTTTAACTGCTACTCTCTGGGGCCCTAATGATACAGACTTTCCTCTGTAATTAATAAGCAGTTACCTATAATAAACTCCTAAGCAGTCCAGGAAACCAAAATCACTGTCAGTTCTGTTTTTCCATAAACTTCAAATTGTTTACAGTAAGTCTGTCCCGTGAAAGCGCAATTACTCGAGTCTGCTGTTACTCCATGAAGAAATGCTCTCGCCCCATGAAGGAGACATAGAGCTGATGGGATGGAGTATCAGTTTAAGGTACGAGGCGCTGATAGTGCAGGCAGCACCTGAAGGCATTTAAAGCATATAACTTTAGGAAGCTCTACCTGATGATCTTTGCACGACGCCTTTGGGAATCCTGCCCCTAGTTTCTAGTTAGTTACCCCTGTGTCAGTTTTGGTCGATACTGCCAGCCAATGTTTAAGCTTTATCAGTATACATAATCAAAGTTAGCAGGTCCAGAGAAGACACAGCTACTAAAATAATGGAGATGGCTGAATTGGATTTTGTAGGCTCATTCACCTCTTAAAATAGGTCTACAGGTCTAATAGGTTTACAATTCAGTATTAAATCTGGCCTGCAGATCGATCTCTCATTTTCCACAGAATAAAACTACAACTTGAACATCATTCTAACATGCCCCCACTCCCCAAATGAGATAGTCTGTCCTTTATGTGTTATTTTTCTGTACAGTTCAGTATTTGGCTTTTTTTTACTACTTACTTGTTCTCTGTGTTCAATTATAACAATATAAGAAAAAAAATTGTCCCAAGATTCTAATTTCTTCATATTGCATTGATTGTGTTTAAGTTCCCATGGTAACACTTGTGATTTTTTTTCAGCAAAGTTTTAAATTTAGGTTATCAAAAGAATTGAAATTATTAAATTGAATCATGATAGAAAAACATTTCCGATAATCAATCATTGTAATCAAATCACTTACTTTTATAAACTGCCATCGCTTTATAAGCCTCCCCGGGTGCCCCTGACAGCTGCCTGGCCGGAATTGCCGCTTTTGGATTGTTGCAAGGATAATGTCAGAGCTGCAGGGGGGTCACCCTCAGGAAATGTGCTGGCCGGGGCCGGTCCCCTTGGCCAACCAACGCAAAATTTGCCTGGGTTACAGTTTGGCAAGTCAGTGATTGTTGATTGTAGTGATTGTAGAACCTCAAAAGGGGGCACTTTCAATCGCTTGGGTAAAAGGGGCTGATGCTTGCCCCCCCGGTGTCCCTGGTTATGGGAGTATGGTCTTCTTACAAGAAGGTGCCTCATTCCAGTCCCAGCCCACCCCCCCCCCCCCCCACCCCCCCACCCCCCCCCCCGGGGCCGCGCGGGGGGGGGGGGGGGCGGGGGGGGGGGGGGGGGGGGGGGGGGGGCAGAAATGTTCAGGTGCACATCAGTGCTCAGGTCCTTCAACAGCTTACCCCTGAAATCCCCAGTGACCCTGCATAGGATAGTGACTGGATGATGGATAGATGAAATATTAATGCTTAGTCAGTGACATGGATTTTCAGCCTGCTTGGGTTTTCATGTGTCATTGCGACACCTTGCAGAAGAGCACAAGACCTGAAAATAATTTGGTTTACTTTAAGTGGCACCGTGTGCCAACCGGCTCATAACTACGCAGGTCTTGGGTGTTAGGGGGAGCATAAATGTTCTTTCCTTGTTTCTGTTCCAATTTCCAACATCCATCTATCCATTACCAATACTGGGAGAGGACTGTTGCCCTCTTCTCCTGAAGCACATCCTAGCACTCAGAGGTGATGAGGTTAAACTGACTAAGGCTTTGCATCCATCGTTATGTGTCTAGTAGACCAAGCTTCACCTTAAATAATAAAGAGTACGCTAATGCTAATTGCATTTTTATTCAGAAATCAGACCTACAACTGGTTTTACAAGTATGACCTAAAACCACAGAAAAACAATTAAAACGACAGTTAAGGTACATACTGTTGGCATGTAATAAGGCTCAGATTGATCCTTCCGTTAAAAGGAGCTCTCCATCTCGACAGCCTCGCTTTTCCTAATACCCATCGTATCCTTGGCGCCCGGTTTGACGGACAGCGCAATCTCTGTCTCCGGGGAGCTGCAGTCCACCCGGTTGATCTTGGAGAAGCTCTGGCTGATCTCCAGGAAGGTCTTGTTTTTGGTCTCAGGCAGTATGAAGTAGAGGTAGCCAGCTCCCAGAAGGCAGAACACGGTGAACACGAGGAAGCAGTAAGTCTGTAGGGCTTCCTGTAGTGGCGACATTAGGGCAGCAGAGGGCAGAATGGTTATGGGCTAAATATGATTATATTTATGAAGATATGAATCAGTTAACAATTACGATATTTAAGGACTGGCCTCATGAATTTTAGGGTTAAAATGAACAAGTATTACATTATGGTTTATGGCTAGGCACTACATTTAAAAAATATGAAATTACTGTGTCTGTGTGAATGGTGTGTGAATGGTGTGTGAATGTGCGCTACGATGGGTTGGCGCCCCATCCAGAGTTATTCTCTGTGTTGCATTCATAATAGGCCCCGAACTGCTACGACTCTGCACAGGAGAACCGGATACAGAAGATGGATGGAAATTACAAAATGAAAAATGTTGAGCTGCAGCAGCCATACCAAGAACTTACCAAGCAAGAGCAGTTCCCTCTGGTGACATTTGGATTATGTTTTTCATTAAAATAATCAAGCTTTCATTATGAACTTTTTCTGTCTTAGTTTTCAATTAAAATCATGACTAATTTCCATATAAAAATCCAAATATAAGTGCTTGAGAATCTGAAGTTTATTTATAAGAGCCAGAGGATGTATTCACAGGAATCTACTCAGATTTCACATTCCTCTCATTTGCTGAGGTTGTCCCCCTGCATCAGATACAGATTTTTTACGTTGCCCTTCCTGCATCACGTCCCCACCTCAAATATCATATGTTTGTGCTATGTGTCCCAGTATTCCTGTAGCCCTGGAATGACAGATGTGGAATGACTATGTCTGTGAACATCTATCTGGACACTGAGATTTTACATCCATCAAATCATCCCACACACTGTCAGAACAGAGTTCCCTTTTTGTACCTTTGCTTGTCACTGGGGCTGTACCCTTAAGAGTCTTCAAGTTGTACCCAAGCTGTAGGCAACATTAAAAATTAGGTGAATGGAGACGCGTGACTCTGGTACTTGTCTGACACACTCCCCTCACAATGTGGCCAAAAAACCTGAACCCGGGGGTTGAAATGATGAGGTTTAAGGTCCCACGTCTCCCCATCACAGGCCTGAAAATTCAACAATGCCAGAGGCTCAGCCTACCTCAATGCAAGAAAAGGGAGCAGGAATCACATCCTCCATGTGCATTACTATCGGAAGGTCAACTCATTAAACATTCCTGTCTATATAAAAAGGTGGGTCCTCTCATTGTCAATCCAGCATCTTCATGGTAGATTACAGGCATGGGGGTCAGTATGACCAATCTTGAGCCGGTGGATTCGCAGATTTAATTGAAATGAATGCATTTAACAGCAGCCTATCAGCAGCTGGCTGCCAGTTGAGAGAGTGATGGGTCGTTCCAACATGCGACGTAAATCATGTTGGGCTGACCCACAATGGCTGACCTCATGGGGGTCATGCTATGGGGAGGGGCGTGGGCCAGTGATGGCAGTGATCTGGGGCGGGACTGTTACCATGACACCAGGAGGAACAAAGTGGATCAAGGTCCAGGCACATTTAATTTAGTGTGCCTTTCCACCAATGATCTGCCATCTGCCATGAAAAGTTACTTCAGCCTTTGACTGCCTATATTAGGCTGTAATTTTCCAGCAAATTCCATCTCGAGTCAGAGCGAGTGTAAACACTTTGGTTACTTGCTATTCCACAGAGGTAACTGAGGAAAGAAGAACAATTCATACCTGACCTGAAGCCTGTCATGCTTATTAAAATCAGACATTTTTATGCAATTTTTTGGCATAATGCTTTAAGCCAGCCTCCTCGAGTCAGCTTGGATGTGGGGCTGATATCAAATGAGCAACCGCTCTGCCCTCCAACAAGCACTGGCAAAACCAGGTGGTATCCATTCTGGATCTTTGAAATGTTCATCAGTCATTCAATTAGCAGGGAAATGGAGAACGACACACCTTACATGACATCCATCTTCAATCTATTATGGCCCTTAAGGGGACAGTTAAAGGGGTGTTGAACCATCTGGCTGAGAACTAGAGTCATCCAGCTGTGTCAAGACAGGAAGTGGGGGCTGATGTAGCTGGCTGGGGGTGGCTGCACAGAATCGGGTCCGTTCCGACGGTGTTCAAGGACAGACCCAGATTTAATTCTGCACCCCTGAGACACTCTAGCTGTGGCTGCATTTCTCATGCCAGTCCCCAGCCAGGTTTCATGGTCAGTGGTGACATTTCCCAGTTCTCTCCATCGCCGCCCTGCTGTTCCGTCTCTGGGGCATTTTTCTTTTTAACACTACAACTAATTTTTTTCAGGGCAGATTCACCTCTCAGTCTTCATTAAATGTAGAACAGGCGTCTGGACAGATGACCATCAGCCTCTTTTATGCAGCTCAGCACTTTTTTCCATTGGAGTGCCACCAGAAGCACTTTACATAAGTAATTCATTATCTCACAAGGGCAGGAAGAAACAGGGACAAAGCAGACTCTTGACAGTCTGGGTAATGTTTAGGATGATATTAAGCTGGCAGGATGGCTGCAGGGATTTAGGCAACATTCTGGGCAAACTCTTTAAGAGAAAGACCTGCCATTCACTGGCCTATCAGACAGACACACAGATACAGGAGATCGTCGCTTCTCAGTAGCATTGTGGGCAGGGTGATGGTTGAGAGGTAAGGACAAACTATCTGGGAACATCTAGGAGTCCAAGGAACAACATTAAATGAATCCATTTAAGGTAGATAAAAATGGATTATGTCCACCAGTTTACTGATTTTTAAGAAAAATTCTGGTTGACATTATGAAGGCCCCGTTGCAGGCCGTCACGGTCACATGACAGGTGGAGGCTGAACCTTCTGACATAGCCATGTTGATGTTAATCAGCTGCCATTGGTGGTTAGTGGTTGCTGTGTTACAATATACTACTTAAGTATCCTGCTGAAATGAAATTTCTTCAAAACAAATTGAGCTACTAAGTGCACAAAATAAAAAACACCATGATTTCTTAAATTACTCAGTAATTATGGCAGTGATTGGTTTATATTTATGTGATTCTGCAGACATGTGTGCACTTGGAAAAACTGTGTTCTATGATTCACATCGCTCAGAGCCAATGAAAATCAGGAGGCTAGTGTCACTCTATCTCCCTATTGGCTCTGCCACTGGCCTTACACCCCCTGCCTGCTGACCTCAGCAGTCCCTGTAGAGCAGCACAAGATGAGCTGGATGTCTCCACCAGCTGGCAGCTTTACAAACACTAATGGCAGGGCAGTGAAGAGTAGCGCACGTCTCATTACACGGGACGGGGATAACCACCTGAGCCTCCAGCACAAAGGCCCAGCCTCCCTGCCACCCAGCTACCAGTCTTCCCTGCCTCCACTCTTCCCAGCTTCCAGGCCTCCACTCCTCCCAGCTTTCCAGCCTCCTCTCCTCGCAAGCTGCTCTTCCTTTCACCCCATTTGCCAGCCTCTGAGTCACTGATATTTTTACCTTATTTTTCCTCTCTTTGCCATTAATCACAGCTGGATATGGAGACCAGGTCCTTTTCCAGTATTTCTGGTGGTAAGGTTTGGTGACAGGTTGCTAACAGTGAAATCCGGGGCAGCAGAGTTGAGATTAAACACTGCAGTTATTGTATTATGAACATCATCATTGAGTCCCCTGCTAATTATCTGCCAACCGTGGTGGAAGGCTACGGCCCACAGTTTGAGAACCACTTCTCAGGAGTAACTAGACGGAACTTTGGTGCTGTGAGCCTCAGACACCATCTCCATCAGCTTCCTCTAGGACGGACTCCCAACAGGAATATTTGTTCCCGAGGATGAATCCCAGCTGGGTCTGTTGACCCAAACAGGTCACAGGTCACTTGACATCCCCATTGCTCAGTAACTGCATATGTAGCCCAGGTGTCACAAAGCCATAGCCTCATCCACCCCAGACATTAGTAACTCAAACCGCTGCAGGGCTTCCAGCATGAGATCTGAGAATCAAAACATTAATTACACTGGATTCACCAATTCAAAAAACAGGTTTATTAGCTTGTGGGCAGTGGTGGCTTAATGGTTAGGGAAATGCACTTATAATTGAAAGATTGCTGGATTGAATCCCTTACCAGCAAGGTATTGCTCCCTGGGCAATGAATTAACTGCCCCCTGCAATGTCACATATGTGTTAAATGCAGAGGACACATTTTGTTCTTGTGTGCTGTGGTGTGTCAACAATGACCACAGATCACTAAACATTTATGAGATTCAGATGCTCACCTCTAGAAATACGATGTCTAGAAGTCATTTGGCTGCGCTTGAGCCCCGGCTCTGTGTGATGATGGCACAGGGCCAGGTACTCCACCACCCCTCAATGGATCGCTGCCTTACACATAGTATGGAGAGCTCATAGAATCTGTCACGCCTTTTTCAGAGACAGCTCGTGACTGCAGATCCAGTTGCACCGCATAGAGCAGAGTGGCAGGACGGAGATCAGAGACCAGGGCCTCAGACAACCACAACCCTGCAACCAGTCACTGCTGATACTCCCAGCATCCTTTTCCACTTCGCAAACCTGGTACATAGTTATACCGCAAACCACAAATAAAGTATTACTCTTTACCACTGATCCACTCTTTAAATAGATACTTGTGTCCTATGTGTATGTCACCTGGGGACATACGTCAAAATAATACCAATTAGCTTCCGCCCAGACACTGCACTGAGTAACAGAATTACTGTTTTTCTCACAGCATGACAGCCTTTGTTTTCCTCTTCTCCTGTTAAAGGCAACTGAGGTTTTATTTTATTATACATGCTGGGAATGTCATCCAGCCAGGTGCTGAGTTTGATATTACGGGTCGGCACAGCGGCGCCCTGGGAGGCGGGCCGCAGGCGATCCGCTTCATCTCCGTGTCCAATGAGACGCGTCGCTTTTCCCCCTAATTTTAAAATTCTTTTTGTTTTTTAAATCAGCCACTGTTCCTTCATCCTCTGTGTCCCAATGGCTCTCTGCACAGGGTCAGAGGTCGCGATCGGCATCGCTTTCAGCCCCCCCACCTCCTGGGGATTTGTTCAGGCATGATCAGTTCC